CATCTTTGAGCGCGTGCAGCTTTTCGCCTCCTGGCCAGGAGCTCTTAAGCCAGCCTGCTCGGATGCTTCGGTTCGCCGTGGGCGCCCATGCCCACTGAGCCCGCCTGGGCCGAGGGGGGAGGCCTTGCCGCAGCCTCGGTGGCCGCTGCGTTGGGCGACTCTGCTGCCAACTAACTGCTCGGGGCGCTCGGGGCCACTGCTGGCCGCGCCTTCTCCGCTGGAGGCGCGCCCGCCGAGCCTGCAGCAGGCGCGGCTGCAGCGGCAGCCGCCGCCGAGGCTGAGGTCCCGTCGTCGCCCCTCCTGCGGTTGACCCTCTCGGAGAGGGCCGCGCGCAATGCTGCCCTCGCACACTGAAGCGCCGGCGCGAAAACGCAACGCAACACCGCATACCCATTCAAAATCACGCATCCAATTCGGAAACCATTCGGGCACAGCTCGGGCACCATAACTTTCTTGGGCCCGTTCGCCCACGACTCGCCACGCTGAGCTTCTGAACGGCTGCCTCCAACTGCTGCCGCGCGTGGTCGAACTCCGACCTGTGCTGCAGGAAGGTCGCCTACTCGGTCTCATACATATCCTATGGATGGGCGGTCGAGGAGATGCCGCAGTCGATGGCAATCGTGTTGGGGCCCAGCGACGACCTGCTGCAGAGTCTTGAGCGCATCCTTGCAAGTCGCTTCCGCCATCGTTTGGGCCTCGATCTTGCGCAGGTCGGCCCGAGAGGCCGTCTCAACTCGCCGCGGGCCCGCAGCACCACCGTGGCCGCTCGCTGGGAGGCCTGCGCAGCCTTGCACAAGTCCTGCTTCGCCTTCTGTGCCGCCTCCCACGCATCAGGGGGTGGTGGCTTTGCTTCGCCCTGATGACCGTGCCGACCTCCGCTGGAAGGTGCGCGGCCTGAAGCAAGTCACGCATCTGCTTTGTGCTGGCGTTTGGGCGGCCGGATTTGTTCGCAGCTTCGGTTCACGGGTTCTACAAGTCCATGTTGTGCCGCACTGGCAGAAACCGTCGTTGGCGATGAGCTGGTAGTTCCAGACCCAAGTCCAGCAGACCTCGCACAGACCCCATGCACGTCCATATTTTTTCTCATCGATGAAAAGGTTACTCCCCGAGTGAACGGGCGCAGGCCAGAGGCGTGGGCGGACCAGCCCTCGCAGAAGCTGTCAGACTGAACAGTCTAAGCGCTGCTGCAGAATAGCAGCTTCCAGTCAGGCACGGAGGCGCGGAACCCCCACGTGCAAGCATTCTGAACCAAAAGGGCTACGGAGGAAAGGGAGGAGGAGGAGGAGGAGGAGGAGGAGGAAGAAGAAAAGGAGGAGGAGGAAGAAAAGGAGGAGGAGGACGAGGAGAAGGAGGAGGCATCAGGCAGGGGTGAGGAGGGAGGGGAGGAAGATATCGCGAGAGGGTGGTGGGAGGCGGAAGAGGGGGGCAGGTGAGGGCGGCGGAGGAAGGAGGTGAAGAGGGGGAAGAAAGGGCAGGAGGAGGAACATGAGAAGAGGGAAGAGGAGGAGGGGGGCTGAGATAGGGGATGGTAGGGAAGAACTGGAGCAGAAGGAGACGGGGAAGGAGGGAGGAAAAGGTGGAAGGGAGGGAGGAGAGGAGGAGGGGAGAGAGAGGAGGGAGAGGGGGGTATCAGCATCAGCTGGTTCTCCCTTCGGTGAAGCTCTGACATGGACTACTGTGCGTTGGTTAGCGACGGGTCCCGCTTCCATACACCATCCACGCGCTCCGTCGCCAAACCAGGCGGCATCGGCCTCATGTTCCAGGGGGTACTTTCGCCGATCTGTGGACCTGACGGCCACGCGCCAGATCCACGGATCCGTAATCCACGTTAGCGTGCGCCCGAGAATAAAGGATGAGTGACGGAGGGGCAGCAGCAGCAGCAGCAGGAGGATGAGGAGGAGGAGAAGGAGGAGGAGGAGGAGGAGGAGGAGGAGGGGCAATAGAAGCAGGGAGTATGAGCGAGGAGGAGGAGGAGGGTGAAGGAGGAGAGTAGGAGGAGGCGAGAGGAGTAGGAGGAGGAAGGATGGGGGAGGATGATGATGATACGATTATTGAAATAGATGATGATGATGTGATGTGATGATGATGGAGAAGGAGGAGGGAGGAGGAAGGAAGGAGGAGCGAGGGGAGGACGGAGGAGGTAGGAGGGGAGGGAGGAGAGAGGGGGGGGGGGGGGGAGGAGGAGGAGGATTAGGAGAGGAGGAGGAGGAAGAGGAGGAGGAGGAGGAAGAGTAGGAGGAGGATGAGGAGGAGAGGAGGAGGAGATGAGAGCGGATGATGATGAGGAGGAGGGCGGGAGGAGGAGGAGTAGAGGAGGATGAGGAAGAGGAGGAAGGATGGGGGGGGGAGGAGAGGAGGAGGAGGAGGAGGACGGGGAGAGGAGTAGAGGAGGAGGAGGGAGGAGGAGGAGGAGGAGGGGAGGAGGAGGCGGGAGGTAGGAGGGAGGAGGAGGAGGAGGAGGCCGAGGCGGAGGCGGGGAGGAGGCGAGGAGGACGGAGGTAGAGGAGAGATGAGGAGGAGGAGGGAGGAGAGGAGTGAGGAGGAGGAGGAGGAGAAGGAGGAAGAGGAGGAGGGGAGGAGGAGAGGAAGGGAGAGGGGCAAGAGTGAGGAGGAGGGAAGAGGAGGAGGAAGGAGGGGGAGGAGGAGGAGGAGGAGGAGGAGGAGGAGAGGAGGAGGGGAGGCGGAGGAGGAGGAGGAGGAGGGGAGGAGGAGGAGGCGGGGGAGGGGGAGCAGGAGGAGGAGGAGGAGGAGGAGGAAGAGGAGGAGGAGGAGGAGGAGGGGGAGGAGGAGGAGGAGGAGGAGGAGGAGGAGGAGGAGCAGGAGGAGAAGCAGGGGGGCATAGGCGGCATAGGGGGCTCGGGCCGCAAGCCTGGGCTTGGCCGCGCCCCTGCGCGGGAACAGGAAAGCCCGCGGGGGTCGCCTGGCTCGGTGCTGGGCTGAGTTGGACGCCGTGGCCGCTGGGCTCCCTACCGCTTCTGCTCCTTGGACCTCGGAGGTGACGGCGGGCCCAGCATGCTTCAAGAGCGGAGTGGAAGCCGCAACAGACAGGGCTGCTCAGTACAGGGTTGTCTGCACGCCTCGGCTGTGCGTACGAGTGGCCTTTCGCTGGAGTGGCCTTTCGTGCGGGCGCACCCCCAGAAGGCTGACTGCCATGTGACAGCAAATAGCAGCGGCTTGCGGGCTCCAGTTCGGCATCCCCGCGGCCCCCGGGAGTCGAGCAATGAAGGTCACTCTTGCCGAGGGTCATTCTTAAATGTAGCCGAACACCCGCTTTAGCGCGTTACGACCCTCCAGGCCTCCCAGATGGGTCGGAGGATCGCGCCGCATCGCCGATGCATTGGCGATGCGGCTTGATGTGAAGCCTGGTTTTCTCCACGCCGACGGCGCCGATGCATCGCTGAGGTTGTTGTTGCATCGCCAGTGCGTCGGCGATGCATCGCCGATGCATCGGCGAGGTGGCCCCATCCTCCGACCCCATCTGGGAGGCCTCTGGATCCCCCTTCCCCCGCTCTGCTCCTCCTGCGTTGGCTCCTCTCTGCTGCCGCTCACCAAGCATGCGGCGCCGTGGCTTCTGCGCAGCGTGGCCCCCCCCCCGAGGTCCGGCCCACCTCCGGGGCCCTGGCTTCTCCTCCCGATCCTCCTGGGCTCGGGGGCGTCCACGAGAGGGGTGATGACTAGGGAGGACGACGACGGCGACGACGACGACGGAGACGACGACGACGGCGACGACGACGACGACTAGGTATGAGTGAGTCCCCGGATCTCAATCTGCTTTAGCCGCCTTCCTACTTCAAGAGTCGCACGGTTGTCCCTGTTCTCTCCTCTTCAGGAGGGCGGGCGGAAGCCCGGTCTACTCCCAACGCCTTCCTACTCCATGCCTCTACCCACTTCTTCCGACCGACGAGTATGCCGGGCCCACAAAGTCCCCGGGGACTGTGTAGGCCCGGCATACTAGCGTCCCCTAGCCAAGTGTTCTCTTGGAAGAGCATGCGTATCCGAAAGTTCTACGCAGCGCTTTCAAGATGCGACGCGAGTGTATGGCATGCGATTGAATGAAAAAAGCATGTGTTTCATGGGTGTGCGCTCTTATTATAAGATCTTATGTTATTATACAACTAACACGTTCTTAAAATAAGATCTAACAGACCCCGGGGCCCAAGGTTCTCACAACGCGTCCCCTAGCCTCCCTCCCCCCCCTCGTCCCGCGCACACCTCGGGCCACGATTTCTTTGCGACCTCCCCTCTTGGGAGGCCCCCTCTCCGTGGACGCCCCCCAGGTTCGTGGTTGGGGGCGGCCCCCGCGCCCGGCGGGGGCCCCTGGAGGCAGAAGAAGGCGAACACACACACATACATACATACATACACATACACATACACATACACATACACATACACATACACATACACATACACATACACATACACATAAATACATACATACATACATACAAGCATACATACATACATACATACATACATACATACACACATACACACATACACACATACACACATACACACATACACACATACACACATACACACATACACACATACACACATACACACATACACACATAAACACACACACAAAAAAAACACACACACACACAAAAAACACACACACACACACACACAAAAACACACACACACACAAACACACACACACACACAAACACACACACACACACACACACACACACACACACACACACACACACAAAAAACACACACACACAAAAAAAACACACACACACACACACAAACACACACACACACAAAAACACACACACAAACACACACACACAAAAAACACACACACACAAACACACACACACACACACACACAAAAAAAACACACACACACACACACACAAAAACACACACACAAACACACACACACACAAAAACACACACACACACACACACACACACGTCTGCCGTCATGGGGTCGCCACGCGAGGAGGCCAGGGCCTGCTGCTCCTCCTCCGCACCCGCAGCCGCTTTGGCCCGGGCAGCGGCGGCTCGGACATCTCTCCTCCGAGGCAGGGCGGCGCACCGCTCCAGGCCTCCCCCACGGGGCGCGAGCAGCTGTGGCCGGAGGGTCGCGCCGCGTCGCCGATGCGTCGGCTTAGCGGCCCGATGTGGAGCCTGATGTTCTCCACGCCGGCGACTCTCATGCATCGCCGGCGACCCCGGCGCAGAGGCGATGTGGCACGATCTTCCGACCCCATCTGCTCGGACCCCGTCTGGGAGGCCCCGCTCCAGCACGGCGGGTGTGGTCGCACTGCGGATCGCGCCGGCCTGTGCGGATCCAGCGCTGCCGCGCAGGGAGCGCGGCTCCGCGCCCCGATGAGGTCCTTCCGGCACCTCGGGCGGCGCGCGGCCCGCTCCGTGTGGTCGCAGCCGGCCAGGAGCTACACGCCCCTGATCAGGCTCGGGGCCGGGGCCTCGCCCCGAAAACGGAAGGCGGGCACGAGCTTCGCCCTCGTCCTGTCCTCGTCTCCGTTATGTCGTCGTCGCTCCTCGTGGTCGCTCTCGTGGTCGCCGTCGCCGCCTCTGCCGGGCGGCATGTTTCGCAGCAGAGCCGCTGGAA